CGGCAGTGTGCCCCAGCCCCTGAGTGTTCTTGAGCCAGACTAGTAGCACCTGTGGACCACAATCCCCCCTCCTGGCTTTACACTAAAGGCATCTGATACAGATATGGAAAATGTTCCTTATTTTGTACTACAGCTCTTAAAATACCCCAGCCAGTGGCCAATTGGGAGCTGTAGACCAAAAAAGGAAACTTTACCACCTCTGTCAGGATTCATGATGATGTTTCATGATTATCCCAGCCTTCAGTGTTATAAAATATTACCATCATTGCCAAGATAGTCAGATCAACCCTCCCACACACACCACCCAAAGATGGAAGAAATCCCGACATGGGAATATCACAGAGTAAGACCAGCAAATACACACAACCATGGCATCTGATTAAAAGCTTGGTGTAATTTCTACCAGATACTTAGAAGAATGGACAGAACTCTTGGATGGGAGACAGTCTGCTCCATGCTAGATCTCCCTCACTGAAGAGGCCTTCTTTTTTAATACCAGTCACCTAGTAGTGGATAAAGCTTTTAAAGATAAGGAAGGTTCTTATGAGGAAAGCTGTTCCTTCATATATCTCTGTCCTATGCTGTTTAGGATCGTAAGCAAATTGGAAGCCAGTAATGATTTTTTAAAAAGAAAAATAAAGAGAAGAATTGTTCGCAGTAGCCCATTCTAATAGTTTGAACCAATTGTAGTATGCCTCTGAAGGTCAGCTGCTAGTGGGAGGTACGAGTGAGAGACTGCTCTGGTACTTTAGGGCCCTTTGTACTCAGATTTCTGAGAAGGTCACTGTGGGAGCAGAATGCTGGCGATTAGAGAGACCCTTGGTCTGAGTTGACACATTAACCGTCTCCTAGAACAGCCTGATTGTCAGTAGTCTGGCCAGAATGTTATAATTTTAGTGCCATGTTTTAAAATGTTGTTTTAAAGCTTTTATTCATTTTATGTTTTTGTTCTGTTTTAGTAAATGTTGCCCTGAGTCCCAACCAGGAGAGAATGGTAGAACAGAAACAGAATGAATAAATTAATTAATTAAATTTATGTAATTTAATTAAATTAACTAACTGTTGACAAGCTCTATCTTAGATGGGCTTAAGACCTTCATGCCACCAAAACAACTTCCAACAGTTTTGGGGTCAGATCCATCAAATGATTATAAAGTGTCCTTAAGTCCTTCTACGAGAAAAAAAGAACACAGCAGAGTAGAACAGAATAGAAGCAAAGCCACAAATGTACAAGGTAGAGTGCAACCTAAGAACAAAACTGACACTCTACTTTCTGCAACCCATACCTATTACCTATTTTAGTAGACTCTGTCTAGAGGGGAGGGGTAGAAATAAATAAATAAATAAAAAATAAATATTTTTATTTGATCTGGATTCAGTTTGACTTTGTGTACCCCATTTAGCCTATTATCTGCGCCAGGTATCTGTTCAGCAGTCCTATTGCCTCAAGACTAATGGGTAGATATATCTGAATGCTGTATTACCATCTCACTCCACACAACTTCATACAGGTTGCTGTTTGATTGGTAGATGTTTAATTGCACTGGCATTGCATAGCAAGTACCTGATCAGCAAGTAGCGCAACTGTTCTGTAGCATCAGTTTCTGGAGCATAATCTAAGAGGTACAGAACCACTGGCATGTATAATTTCTGATTTCTAAACCAACCAGATTGTCCGGAAGGTTGATGATATCAAATGCCATTGAAGGGATCAGCAAAATGAACAGTTGTATATACACCACAGTCTCTCATTCACTAGAGATCAGAACAACTAAAGCAGTTTTAGTGCCAAACAGGCTGGAAGACAAACTGAAATGGACTCATATAAATTCACTGCATCAAAAAGCAGAGTTAAGGAGCTAAAGCTCAACTGCTTTGCTTAGAAGTAGGAGACTCTGTGGTTAGTCAGTAGTTGAAACAATTCTCGGCACGTAACATTCTTTTCTTTTTCCTTCACCTCATAAGAACAATATACAGTGGGGTCTTGACTTGAGAACTTAATCCGTATTGGAAGGCGGTTCTCAAGTCAAAAAGTCTGTAAGTCAAGTCTCCATTGACCTACAGTGCATTGAAAACCGATTAATCCCGTAACAGACCGTTTTTGTTCCATTTTGGTTTTTTTCTGGTCTGTAAGTCAATTCACAGTCTGCAAGTCAAACCTAAATTTTGCGGCTAGAGAAGTCTGTAACCCTAAAAATGTCTGTAAGTCAAGCCATCTGTAAGTCAAGGGTCCACTGTACAGTCATGTGAAAAAGAAAGTATACCCCCTTTGAATACTATGGCTCTATGTACAGTCGTGCCTCACTTTACGATTACCCCCATTACAACGAAACGAAGATCGGTTGATCTTTTTGCGAATTGTCTAAATGGAGTTTTTTCGCTTTGCGAAGATCGGTTTCCTGCTTCGGGAACCGATTCTTCGCAAAACAACGATTTTAAAACAGCTGATTGACGGTTTCAGAATGGCTCCCCACTGTTTTCTGGGACGGATTCTTCGCAAGACGGGCAGCAAAAACGGCTGCCCTATGGAGGATCTTCGCTGGACAGTGAGTTTTGACCCCACTGGAACGCATTGAAGGGGTTTCAATAAGTTTCAATGGGTTTTTTTCCGCTTTACGATGTTTTCGCTTAACGGCGATTTTCCTGGAACAGATTATCGCCATTAAGCGAGGCACCACTGTATCAGGACATAATAAAAATCATCTGGTCCTTAGCAGGTCTGAAACTTAGGTAAATACAAATTCAGAGGAACAACACATGACATATTACACCGTATCATGATTTATGTAACAAAAATAAAGCTAAATAGAGAAGCCATGTGTGAAAAAGTAAGTATGCCTTTACTCCTTCCATAGGAAGTAAGAGGCTAAGTAGCAGCCAGGTGCGCTTACTCCTTTGAATAACTGATCATCAGCAAGTGTGATCACTTTTATAAAAGCTGAAGCTTTAGGAGTTTGCTGGTCTGGAGCATTCAGGTGTACATTAACATAATGCCAAGGAGGAAACACATCAGCAATGATTGTAGAGAAACAATTGTTGCTGCCCATCAATTGGGAAGGGTTATAAAGCCATTTCCAAACAATTTAAAGTCCATCATTCTACAGTGATGAAAATTATTCACAAGTGGAAAACATTTAGGATAGCTGCCAATTTTCTCAGGAGAGGTCATCCAAGAACATTCATCCCAACGTCAGACCATGCAATGCTGGGAGAATTTTTTAAAAAAACAAACAAACCCACACACAAGAGTTACATTTCAGACTCTACAGACCTCAGTTAGCATGTTAAAATTCATGACAGTACGATTAGAAAATTACTGAACAAATAGGGTTCATTTGGAAGGGTTGCCAGGATAGTTTCTTCTCTTTAAAAAAAGAACATGGCAACATGGCTTAGGTTTGCAAAGTTGCATCTGGACAAATCACAAGACTTCAGGGACAATGTCCTTTGGACAGATGAGACCAAAGTGGAGATGTTTGGCCATAATGCACAGTACCATGTTTGGCAAAAACCAAATACAGCATATCAGCCCAAACACTTCATACCAACTGTCAAGCACGGTGGTGGAGGGGTGATGGGCTTGGTTTGCAGCCACAGGACTTAGGTACTTTGAGGTCATTGGGTCGATCATAAATTCTTTTGTATACCAAAGTATTCTAGAGTCAAAAGTGAGACCAACCATCTGCTTGACAGTGAAAGCTTGACTGGAACTGCAGATCCTTGTCATGCAACAGACAAGGATCCCAAGCACACAAGCAAATCTGCAACAGAATGGTTGACAAAGAAAAGAATCAAAGTGTTGCAGTGGCCCAGTGAAAATCAAGAGCTCAACCCAGTTGAAATGCTGCAGTGGGACCTTAAGAGAACTGTGCATAAGCAAATGCCCACAAACTTCAATGAACTGAAACAACATAATCAAGATGAGTGGGCCAAAATTCCTCCACAATTATCTGAGAGACTGATAAAGTCATACAGAAAAGGATCACTTCAAGTCAATGTACCCTCTAATTTTCAGCCCTATTTCCTTCATGACCTTGCTCCTGCTCGTCTTCTTGACTCTGCCCTTCCATGATTGGAACCAAAGAGGCTGAAAATGATCACTGAGGAGGAAAGCTGTGTGGAGGGAGGCAGAGTAGCCCGTGTGCAGGTGCGTGCCTTAGAACTTTGCTTCAAGTTATTGCTGCTAAAGGTGGTTCTATAAACCACTTTGAATCATAAGGTGTACTCAGTTTTTCACACATGGCTTCTCCATTTTGTCTTAAATTTTGTAAAATAAATATTGACATGATCTAATATGTCATGTGTTGTAGTTCATCTGAGGTTATATTTACCTAATTTTAAGACCTGCTAAAGACCAGATGATTTTTATTATGCTCTGATAGGTAAAACCATAGAATTCAAAGATGGTGTAGTTTCTTTTTCATATGATTGTAAGTCAAATCAAGAAAGATCAAGCAAATGTTATGCGGCAGCTATTTTACACTCTCTGAATCTGAACAACTGAATGTTCCTTAATATCTCCTTCAGAGTTTGCCAAAGCAGGCTCCTGATGACTCAGAATACCTACCTTGAATGGCACTGAACACATGATGCATTATTAGCCCATTTATACCATGAAATAAGTCCTAAGACATACTCAATTTTTTTTTGGTAAAAAGTGGCCTGCTTTCAGCTTCCACTGTGATACTACCCTTGCTGAGATTATCTCAAGCTGCCCAGTATACTGGGAAGCTGACCAGTCTCTAATGAGTTTTTGTATCTATTAGTGGTGGTTGCTGTTGTAACAAGTCAAGAAAGCGAGGTCCCACCAGTATCAAATAGTGACTGAAATCCTGTTGCTAACTGTAATATATCACACTAGAGTAGGTTCACTGAATCCATGGGGATTTGGTGAATCAACTCCTCTTTAGGTTGCATTGATTCCTCCTCTAGTTGCAACTTACTTTAGCTTGGAAGAAGAGTGAACAGAAGTGAAAAGAGGAGCAACTATTGAACAAATGTGTGTGAGTTTATGAAACTTTTAATAATGCTCATTAAATGCACAAGTTTAATTCATAAATACAGATGAACTAGTACAAAAATTAAAAAGGTAAAATTGATTTACTTATAAGCACATTATGTTCCAACAGCCACCTCTTCTGAGATTAAAATGGGTTGATAGTCAGTGCAGTCAGAACAATATTGACAAAAATACTAATACTAATCCAGTAATTCTGCCTACATGGGAATGCAGTTTCCCCTACTTCATGGCACGCTCTTGTGAGGACCAAATAATTCTTTGGTACTGTAATAAAATAAACCAATGTCCAATGCATTAATATGGGGAGGAACTCACACAAACTAAATGTTGAAAACTTTCACATTCATGCTTCAAGGTGTAACCGACTTCTCTACACTGAAAAATTTAAGGCGTCATCATGGTTTGACACTACATACAGTTGTAATCATTCTGTTTACAATAAAACGACTATCTTTTCATATCAAGCATAACCCTGTTCAGGTGTTAACTGACAAACCCGCCATGATTAGATGGGAACATCTTCTCACTGTTGCTTTCTACACATGGAAAGCAACACACCTACAAAGTTGAGGTTTCTGCTCACATGTAGGCCACATGGGCAAGAACCCCAGAAAATTAGGCAAAATCTGTCTGTGAAGGTAGTGCCCAAATAGGCCTTTTAACTGGTGAAGAACTCATTTGATATGATCACAGTTAAAGTGATGGACGGGAAAGTCAGATTAAAAATTTCAGGCTCTTATTTTCAATGAGAGCACAGCAGTAGAGTTTTAGTTTCTTCTCTTTTTTTGCAGGGAGGAGCTGATACAATACTAAAACGCTATCAAAATTAGCCACATCAAGGATAAACAATTCGTGGTTTCATACAGAAAGAGTATTCCTTTTCTACACAGATTACTAATTAACTGCTCCACATTTGATGGATAGTGTTTACACTACAGTTAGCACAATTATAGCAGCTCAAGTGCTGCTGTGATCACAAAGATCACAGTGGATCTATAATTGCAAATAGCACTTTTACTTGAGCACTGCCTGACTTAGAGCCCATTCATGCCCTTCCCCCAGCCAAGGTGTGGGGACAACTATTAAATATGTACCAACTCAATGATTGTTAAAAGTCTGATACCTTCGGAACTGGTCAAAACAAAAGTGTGTACTTAGTCTACCAGCTCTGTAAACAATGTTTTTACAGCATGGGCATCATCAGTGCATATTAGAGGTCACTGGAAGCAATCCACTTGGCATCAGTTCTGTGTAAGTGCCATTCATTCCAATGGAGCCCATGCAGAATTCGCACTGTTGGATTTCTCCTCCTGTATGTTAGAAAAGTGCAGATTTCAGTCTCCCTGGGGATAAATCTGTGACTAAATCTTTGTATGACAGGAATGTCTCAAAGCAAATAATAATTTAAAAATGTGGTTCACAAAGTAATTAATTTTCTAGGTATAACGAGTCTAGAAAAAGGAGCATATCATGCCTGTGCACATTTTCAATTAAACTAGGTACAGTAAACTACCTAACCATAAAGTTTTCTATCTTAGAAAGGAAGGCATACTAAAGAGAAGTGTCTTTTTTGTGTTGAGTTAAAAGAATCATCATGATCAGTATATGTGGCGCAGTTCTCCTTATACCGAGTACCAGTGACTCAAGAGGAATAGAAAAATCTAAAAGAAGCCACGGTTTATGGTGCTTAATGAAAATCTTTTGTCCATCTTCCTGTTGCGATTATCTCAAAACTGAAAATACAGCTTATGAGTTCCAAACTGTTAATGTCTTCCACGTCCACCTTCAAAAGCATGATGCTCTTTGTGGGCTGAAAGACAAGAGACCACAGGAATATGAAATACATTTCACTGATGAAGTCCTGCAAATGCTGTCTTCTATTTATATTACATGCAAGCAATACTTACGTTTATAAAAAACGGCTTTAAAAGATGTGTGGGGCAGAAGTTCGTAGATCTTTTCTAAAATAGTAGCTTCACTTGCTAATGATGCATTGACATTCCAGACTTGAACCACATCTTCCCGATCACGAACACTGACACTAACTCCTATTACTTCATCACCTGTCAAGAGAAAACATTATTATTATTTGTTGTTATTATTAAAAGGAACTTTCATGTTAGTGAAATCTATATGGAGCTCCTACTCACCATTCACTAGCTTGCCACTGATAGCTATTATCTTATTTTGTGACTAACATTAATTAGTGACAACAAAGGATCTAGAATGACAAGTTTTATTTGCATATGTTTTTGTGGACTATAGCACTCTTTCGTGTTTTTAATTCTGCAACACTTGTACACAGAGACCTCCCTGCTCATTAAAACAGATCTTTAAAATGCATTCTTCAATTGATACTTTGGTGTAGGTTTATTCATGGCAAATGTTTCAGAATGGAGGTCTGGTCAAAGACATTGGATACGCTAAAACTGTATGGTTTTCCAAATCACCAGAATAAAAAGCAATCAGCATTTGGGCCTGTTTTATTACAAGAACCTCCATCATTAAAACAAAAGCTCTTCTATTAGAAAACAATCAATTCCTGATACAGAGGTGCTAAATGAAAAATATTATAATTTATGCTGTATATGTACTTCAAAGAGAAAAGCCCATATGAGACAAATGCAGATGATGATGATCATATACAGAAAGCACTCAAATAGAACCTTGATCCTAAAGTTAAGATTCTTGTTTCTATGCTGTTTTCTATATAATGAAACTTGACAAGACTGACACTTCAAAGGCAGAGCTGCAAAAGATGACAAAGCATATTATAATATAATAGATAACTGGCTGAAATCCAGTACTGAGCTGCAGCTTGAGAAGGCCCATTGGATTAATTGAACTGATATTGGTGTTGACTCACCAAATCCCTCCTGATTCAATGGGCCTCTTCCAACTGCAACCTACTAATGGATTACAACCAGTGTGTCAGAACAGTGTTCAATACTGGCTTGAAACATAGTCTTATCAAAACAGAGCAGGTACAGTGTGGTCCAGTGGTTAAAAAGAGGGTAGGATTTGAGTGATGAAGTGGAGAGGCTGACTTGGGCTCACTGGAGGAAAAGCAGAACGGACTGCAAATGTGACAAACAATTAACAGCCCCCTTTGTACATGATTACACACACAGGCAATCACCTACACCCATACACAGATAGGCGACTGAATCAAATTACATTTCACACAGACAGACCTGACTATAAGTATCAACATCCATACATCTGTCAGCAGAGATGTATTAAATGAGACAATGTTGTAATGAGAACTCTATTTGGAAAGAGTTGTCTCAGTCGTTTTAGTGAAAGTATTGACCAATACTTAATTGTATGAATTTTGCAACATTCTGGTAAACTGCAACTGGGGAATCTTTCCCTCCAAACGTTCTGGCTAACGACTCCCATCAGCCCCACCCAGAATGGCCCATCATAAAGGCTATGGTAGTCCAAAACATCAGGAGAGCTAGCCCAGGTTATAAAAACTGCATTTATTGCTGAGGGGACTGACATTTTGGGGGGCACTAGTTGCCACAGTACGATGCAAGTGCACAGCCAGGCATTCAGGGAGATCTCAGCTTTTGTTCCAAACTGATAGTTCCCTCTTATTCTTTCTTTGTCTTGACTTGGACCGGGAGACGTTCCTCCTGTCTAACCCATGTGCAGCATAGCAACTTGAGCTTTTCCACTGTATTGACTATCTCTTTCCTGAAAGAGAGAGTTAGTCAATACAGTGACTAACTGTACACTTCCCTCGGAGCCTCTTACTGCAGTTTAGCTTCACACTGTGACCACCCAGTGAGTACTGCTGACAGACATACAAAAAGTAGCAGTTAAGACATTTAAACCCTACTTTGGGCAAGTATCAAACAGTCACTTCTCTTGACTTAGAGAGGCCCCTTGAACATAGTTGGAGAAAATGAATCCTCCCCACCCCCAGCATCTGAATAAAGGAAAGTAACAATCTGCTTTGTTAGGAAGCTGCCTATTTCAGTGGCTGGCACCTAGCCTCTGCCAGTTAAGTTGGCTATGACGATCGTCCTGTCTTTATGGTTACAACTTTTATATTTACACACACAGACACACAAATCAAGGGATAAAAACCCTTTACCTACCTTCTGCACAGCGGTCTGTAAACTGTTCTCCAATGGTAGCCAGCAGTAACTCTTTCCATACTGCAAACTACCAGAAGAAGAAGAGAAAGAGGAAGAAGAGGAAGAGAAAGGGAAAAAAGAAACACAATTAAAATTAAAATTTTGTAAAAACAGGACATTTAGTCCAGTTGTGTCTGATCTAGGGGGCAAGGCTCATCCCTGTCTCCAAGCCATAGAGCCAGTGTTTGTCCATAGACAGTTTCCGTGGTCACGTGGTCAGCGCGACTAGACACGGAACGCCGTTACCTTCCCACCAAGGTGGTATCTATTTATCTACTCGCATTTTTTTGGAGATTTTTTTTAACTATATAAAATCCATCCATGTTGATTTAACATCGTGCCACCTGAGTACAGCTTATATTCATTTGTTAAAACAACTACCATACACATTACACTCCTAATCTATACAACGTCCTTCTAACCATTGGTAGAACAAGTCCCATGTTTGATAATATTTTGTATCTTCTTTTCCTTTGATTTTCAGTGTTAGTCTATCCATTTCGGTGCAGTCCAGTATCTTTTTAATTATTTCCTGATTTGTAGGTGTTCCTTCCTTTTTCCAGTACTGTGCATATATAATCCTCGCGGCTGTTAAAATATGCAATATTAAATATACATTTTGTTTATCAACACTTTCTGGTGTTACACCTAACAGAAAGAGCTCTGGCCTAAAGTCTACATGCTTTTTAATTATTTTAACAAGCCATGTATGTATTTTGTATCTACTCGCATTTTTACATGCTTTCGAACTGCTAGGTTGGCAGGAGCTGGGACAAGCAACTCTGTCGCGTGGATTCGATCTTATGACAGCTGGTCTTCCAATCTTGCAGCACAAAGGCTTCTGCGGTTTAACCTGCAGTGACACCATGTCCCCTACTGTTTAGGCACATGAATAATTTCAGTTCAGTCTCAGAAAAGAATGAGAAACTCATTTGGCAATATATAAAACATTTAAATGGAAATGGTAGCCATGAAATTAGAGGAAGACTGATATTCAGGACAGCAGCAATTAAGGAATGAGAAATGTTGAAGCTGAAGTAGCATGTATCACAAGAGACCAAGATTATATTTTCAATCAGTAAAGAAAAGTGAAAGAAAAAAACACATCCAATTTGTTTGAAATGTGGTGGTAGAGATATCCTGGACTGACAGAATGACAAACAAGTGGGTCCGATATCGAATCCAGCCCGAACTATTTCTGGAGGCAAAAATGTTGAAGCTGAAGTTGTCCTACTCAGGGTACACCATGAGAAGACAGGATTCTCTGCAAAAGATAATAATGCTTGAAGGAATCAGGAAAAGAGGAAGACCACATACAAGATGGATTGATTCCTTGAAGGCACCATAGGCTTACGTTTGCAAGAGCTGAGCAAGGCTTTTGAGGACAGGACATTTTGAGATGGCTCATTTTATGGGGTCTCCATAAGTCAAAAGTGATTTGACGGCACATTTATTTATTTATTTATTTATTTATTTATTTATTTATTTATTTATTTATTTATTTGTTTGTTTGTTTGTTTGTTTGTTTGTTTGTTTGTTTGTTTGTTTATATACCACCTATGTAGAACGTGTCCACTCTGCTGGGTGTAATAACAACAACAACAACACCATTACATTCCTCTGTGTGTGTGTAGTGCCATAGGTGAGCCCAGTATAGACAACTGACTGCCTCCAGTCCAGGTGCAAGCAAAACAAAAATCGTAAGTACCGTAGCTATGTCAGTAACTCTGCACAAGTTACTAGCTTGCAATATCATTTACTAGCTTACCCTGGGATGTAAAGAGCTTTGTCTCTGCACTGGGTGCAGGGGAACATTTCCCCCCCCAAGAGCCAACTTCCTTTCTATGCTTGTTTTCTATGGCACACACAATCCCTCCTCTGGCAACCTGTTCACTCTGTGACTACATGTACTCACTTGTAGACAATTACTGATCACCCCTGGGTACCAGGCTACAGCTTAAATACAAGGCTATTTTTGGATTCACCATTTAGAAAACTAATCTGCCAGAGTCTCCCTGCAATCCAGTCTTGATGGCTACCCATTAAATTTGGAATCCCCTTAATCTCAAGACACAAAGCCTAAGCCTGAGCATCCTGGTGTTTGGTAACCAGAGGTAAGAAGGAAACAGGGATTTGCAAAGTTTAATTGCTGGCAATTAGGGTTTTAAGATTAGCACAATTTTAGACACCCAAACCTTTCAGATGAGGCATGCTATGAAAATCAAATCAGAGTTCCTTTGATGAGCGTGGATCTAATCCAATACTGGAGGGCACAGTAGTATAACCAGGGAAGGTGATAATCAGGGAGTAATTATTTAAAGATGGGGCAGGGGAAACAGATAACAGCAGTTCACCAGCATGTGGCAACAGGAAAGGAAATGTGATGCTTTTAGGCTGCACATACTGCTGAATGCTATACAAAGCAAGACAACTATGGTTGAAAAGGATGGCTGTTCATCTGCTCCTGTAAAATATTGCTGGTGCAATGCCCCCTTTCCCCAAGGTTACCCCAAAGTTCTGCCCCGCAGGGCTTGAAGCATCCTGCAGAACAGACTCTGGGTTTATGGGTTTCTTTTCTTAGTGAGAGAAAAGGGAGAGGAAGTATTGCTGCACAAGCTGACTTCTGTTCAGGTGACGTTAAATGGCCTGGACCATGAAGAAATACTGTTGCAAAGGCACTCAAACATCTGATTTGCGACTTTTTACAAAACTTCTCACTTTCCTCTGTTCAAATTAATTTTGCATAGCATGTGTGTTGCGAATGTAGTGTGGAATACCCTCCCCTTGGAGGCTTGATTGCTGCCAACACTGGCATAATTTCGGTGCCAAGTCAAGACGTACTTATTTAATGGAGCCTTTGGAGGTTCAGGGTCATGGCCTGCATAGGTTTTAGTGCTATGTTTTTAATGTTTGCATGTTTTAATTTTCTATTTTTTTGGTTTTAACTACCTTATGTTTTAAAATTGTTTTATACAGTTTTGTAGATCCTATGATACAGGGTGGGCTTTAGATGTTTACACACTCACTCACTCACTCACTCACTCACTCACTCACACACGCTATACAGTGCTAAGCACAACATACCGTACTGTCTTTGGGGACCTTCATTTTCCACACACCTCCTTTGGCATTACTTTCTTCTTCCCTGATTTGAGAAAAAAAACACAAGACATGGCTTGTCATATTTGTGGATGAGTTTTCTTCCATGGAAGTATAACAACAACAAAATTTTTTGATACTGTATGATCATACAGTACTGCAGCCTAAAATCCTATCTCATTTAGAGACCAGAATATAAAAGAACCTTCTAGATTTCAGGCTCTTTAGTGTGTGGCAACACATAGGAAAATTCAGAAGTCATGGCTGAGTTTCAGTCCATGGAATGTTCCTCACCCTTTCCCAAGACAAGCAGAATAAAATGGATAAAACAAGAAAACGTTCTCCTTATTCCTTAGCTTTTACAGACGTTTCAAGATTGAGTTACTTTGGTGCAGAATTTCTTTAGCATCGATTATTCACAGTCCTCCACAAATGCTTCTCAGCATGATAAAATGTGGGTCTCTGTGTAATAGAATCATTTGAGAATTCAAATGGGAGATCCAGTTATAGTTACAAAATAGTTTAAATGTTTTGAACAGAGTTTCCTTTTCCAGCCTGGTAGCATAGTCAGATAAACCTGGCATTGCACCAGGATGGCGCTTCTCATCATGACAGGTTGGAAGGAGGGCAGGTTGAAATTGGAAGCAGAATCTTCAGGGGCCCTGTCCTCCCCCCTCCAGTGATAGATAAGTCCAAAAGAGAAAGAGCAACGAGGCAGCTGTATTTTTGAAACTGTTATACATTCTTGGGAAAATGCTTTCTCTTTCTCTTCATCCTAACCTCAACAGGCCAGAGTATATGATTAAAATAGCTACCCACTGCTAAAACATCTGCTGTAATAATAAAGTCATTTACCACGATTTGTGGGCATTTACTTGCTGCTTCTTTTCACTTAAAGAGATCTATTTACTTACAAGGATTCCTCTAAGCCCTGAAAAAGCTGTAAATTGCAGACTGTATGAAGAGGAGAGATTAGAACAGACATGCAATCCACTGAACATGTAACCTGCTTAATACAAGTTTATCACAGCTTTCTGTGTATCACTCTACAAAATAAAGTATGATAGACATAAGGCCTGACATAGGCACGCAGAACACACTACCCTTAATATATTAGATCTATTAATTTTTTTATTTGTTCAGTCTTCTTTTACAATGTTTCCCGCTGATTCTCTACACTTGTAGAAGTATCATGCCTAAACAGGTGATCTTAGCACACATTGGTTATGTTCTTCATTCAAAGAATTAAGATTTATATATATAAAATTAACACAACTTCAAAATGTAATGTGATGTAATGGTATTATTGCCACTTGTTTTGTAAAATAAAAATCCCTCTGAAAACATTCAAGAAAGAGATTGCAGGTAAACATTCAGGTATAGCCACAAGCACTGCCAGCTGCCACCCCCTCCCCAGGCACTGAAATACTCTGTTTGCATTGCTGGCCATTCATCATTCTGCAAGTGAATGGTTCCAAAACGGTGAGGATTTGAGGAAACATTAAATAAAATAATGCTGGTCCATATACCAAGTACATAAATCAAACACAGCTAAAAGTGAACTCATTTGACAAGTTAAAGGAGACACATAGGACTATTGTTTAAAATGTGGCCCAAACTATATTAGTTATATTTGCAAGTGTACCGCAGAGATGGGCACAAATCTCAGTTTGGAGGTTCATACTGTTTTGTTGGACCAGCATCACAGGTGCCGCACATGCCCTTCCCATACTCCCTGGCTCACCAGCTAGCATGTGCTGCTTGTCTCCTCCTCTTTGGACATTCAACCAGTCTCAGCAGGAGTGTGTGTTTCCCTCCTCCACCTCCTCCCCTGGCAGCCACCCACAAGGCGCTATCTGGATTAACGTCGCTATCTGGATTCGTCGCTATGTGGGGGGGGAACACCATAGGAATGCATTAAAACGGGTTTAATGTGTTCCTATTGGGATGAAAACTCACTGCTATGCGGGGAATCCTCGATCCGGACGCCATTTTTGCTGCCCAGTAAGCAAGGGCAGGGCGCGAAAATGCTGCGGGTGGCCATTTTGCGGATGCGGCGGTCATTTTTGAACCGCCGATCAGCTGTTTAAAAAACATTGCAATGCGAAGATCGGTAAGCGAAACGCTTACCGATCATCGCAATGCGATGTTTTCCCTATTAAAACATCACAATGCGATCACATTAGCGATCGCAAAAAACGCGTCACTATGTGAATTCGTCGTTAAATGGTGCGCTTGTTAAGCGAGGCACCACTGTATCATAATTTTTACGTGAAACAGGCAAGCATGGAGCTATTGGCTTCAGAAGATACATGCATCCTTTTTCTAGGTATGGCCCTCAGATTATATCCCTCTTTCACACAGCTTTCAAGTAGGAGAAGATGTATAAAAAGAAATCAGATCACAATTCATTTTCTTTTGACAACATCTTCACTACATATTTTGGGGGGAAAGATAAAGAGATTCCTGCAAACCATTCCAAGCTAATTCTAAATTTGGCTTATTTTCACGTGCCAAATCTAATGTAATTTTTAGAATACTTTAATCTTGGGTCCATCCACTCAAGGCAACACAGTGAGTGGGGAATTGTGAAAGCATCAGTTTTATCAATAGTCTTCCTTTTTCGGGGGGGCGGGGTGAGCGCAAGCACAAAGCTGGCATAGCTGCCAACAAAAATCCTCCTGGGGCTTCACACATGGCAGACTCACTAGTCACTTCCCCAAATCAACTGCTACTTTTACAGAATTGAAATGTAAGAAGCAAGAGCACAGAAGGGCTTTCGGTTTTATTTATGCATCCATACGGAATTTAAGTGTAAACTATAATTTACAATATTTGGCTTGTTTTCATTGCCAGGCCACACGAGGTTATACAAGTGCACACTTTATGAAGCTATAAAACATTTTTAAATGGCTACTGGGCCATTAATATACAATCTCCAGAAAAAGAACCAGATCCCCAAAGAGTATGTAACTCTTGAAAAAGGCACAGCACAATCACGGCTATAAGAGGACTTTGAACTGCCTCACCTGTGCCATGCAATACTGCACTATTTTATGAGAAGAGAAAAAATAATGTTGTTAACTCAGTCTAAACGTCTACTCTTGTGTCAACTGTATGGTTCCTGACTCTTATTGTCAGACTTGCCAGAACTCGTTTTGGCTGATAAAGCCGGATTATTATAGAAAGGCTTGGGCAATATAGTTTAACAGCAGCAGCTACTGAATCAAAGCTTGACTAAGCAATCCTGTGCACGTCTATTCAATTAAGTGTAAGAGGACTCACTCCCCTGTAAGGATTGTATTGAAACCGAAATGTTAAATAAGCACGGCAGCCACTATCACCACAATCTTTTGTATGTAGAAGACCTGCTCAAGTCAGCAAGATGCATAGGTTTGTCTTTAGAGTTTGCCTTATCCTTCTTACTTCTATACCTATATCGGCCAGGATTGAAGGAGACTCTTCAAGTCCATCCAAGATCTTCAATGTAGAAAGTGGAATTTTTGACTGCAAACCAAGATCCCCAACCCTAGTCAAATTGACTTTTAAAGCCATAGCAGACCTTGGGGAAATAATGACTTTTTAAGGGTACCACTTTCAGAATCTGTGTTGGCTAGAGGATTTGGCTGAAGTTCAAAAAAGCCCCCAAACATTTTCCAAGTTCTGAAACTGCCTCACAAAAAAAGAAAATACAAAAAAGTGCAGATTCAAAGTCATCCACCAAGTGAGCAGGTAGTGGTAGCACAGCTTTAACTGCGCTCTGGCCTTGCTTGTGGTAAATTTTTATTCAGTGTTTTAACTTTAATCAATCTAATTCTGCGCAGCCTGCTTCCAGTCGAATATATGATGTAAACAAAGATCACAGTCTATAACTTGGACTTTAATATTAAAACATTTTAAGCTTGAAAAGGCAAACACAGGTTACTGTAACATAACCTAGCAGATTTACCAAGCATGTTTTTTAAAAATCTGGCTCCTTTAATCTTTTGCCTCCCCACTTTTCTTTTCTATGGCTTATTATTTGTCATGACTTACAAATATAGATGACAATTTACGCCTGAAGTATAGTAATAATGTGAACATACATACCATAGCGGTCGTCTTTCTCCACGCATTAAATGATAACTACATCTCAGAGGCAAGTCTGTCACAGGAGGGATGTTATTATAAACACTCCAGAAAATCTAGAGGGAACGATTACAGTTTATTAATATATACACAACAATAAACAGAATGAAATTTACCTTGCTATGTTTAGGAAAAGTGCTACAAAATGCATGCTCTGCAAGAAGATGATTCCCTGACATCTTCAAGAAGGGCGGAGAAGCATTTCTGCATGGAAAACTTCTGTTTGAAGAACTGCTGTTGGTCAGCAGCAGTACAGTATCGAGGACAGATTTGTACAGATTCCTTTCACTTGAACAGTAAGTACACTCACACCTGTGATTGCAAGGCAGGAGAGCTATGCCCGGATGCATTGACTAAAGAAGGCTGTTTCCTTCTATCACTGTAGAAGTGGCTGATTCAAAGAACACTCATTCAGCAATTCTGCATTCAGTGCAGATTGCCCAGTGTGGTGTAGTGGACAGTGATAGACTAGGATTCTGAAGACCAAGGTTCGAATTCCTGCTCAGTCATGGAAACCCACTGGTGTGTGTGGGGAACTGGTAAAACCACTCCTTCAATATCTCACTTATCTTGAAAGCCTTACTAGGGTTACTGTAAATCAGTTGCGACTTGACAGCATATAGCTACTATTTAGGGTACAGTGGTGCCCCGCATAGCGAGGTTAATCCGTTCCGGATTAACCTTCGCTATGGGGAAACATCGCTATACGGAACGAAAAAACCCATGGGGCCCAAACTCACCGTTATGCGATGTTTCCCCATCCAGCCGCTATTTTCACGCCCTCGGTAAGCGAAGGCAGGGCGTGAAAACGCGGCGCGTGGCCATTTTGGGTGTCCGGCGGCCATTTTGGGCCCGCCAAACAGCTGATTTAAAAAATCGCTATGCGAAACGCTTACCGATCATCGCAAAGCGAATTTTGGCCATTTAGACCATCGGTATGCGATCGCATTAGCGATCACTAAATCCGCATCACTATGTGGATTCATCATTAAATGGTACGCTCGTTATGCGAGGCACCACTGTACTTACATATATGTTTCTCAAGTCAATGATCACTGACAGCCTATGATGGATGATGAACTAATACATTTTATTGTACCCTCAAAAAGAAAGATTAAATCCAAAGATCTCAAAAGAACATGAGAAATATCCCAATGAATTACTCTTGGTGCAAGTTTTAGAACTTGCACCAGTCTAAGGGCTGGATGTGGCTTTTGGAAGTCTTCCATCCAGACAGGATTTATTACCCAACGTATAATTTTCATAAGTTAAAACTTTTGTTCTTACCTGTACAGTTTGTACTGTGTAGATCTTCTTTAAATTTGATGCACACTCTGCTGCTGTAGTACCAGGAAGTGACCTTAAAATTCAAACAAAACTAATAAGTTATAATAAACGCACCTGTCATAAACCTGATAATTAAAAAAAGTGAAAACTAAAAAGCACCTCCTACAGTATGAAGCAAAGCAAAAAGCAGCACTCTCTGGATGGTTTATAATTTAATTATGCACACTCAGCCCCCCCCCCCAGCAAGCTGGGTACTCAATTTATCAACCTCAAAAGGATGGAAGGTTGAATCAATCTCAAGTTGTCTGCCTGGGACGTGGTACCCCAGGTCGTGAGCAGGGTTTTGGCTACAGTACTGCAGTTTAACCACTGTGCCACGAGGCTCCATAGGAAGACTGTAGGTGAGGTGCCACTTCATTATTTGTAAACATGAATCCTTATGCACCCAAGAAAAGCTTATACAGAATGAAGTGTAGGGTATTTTCCGATCCCAAGACAAACTCTAATGTATAGAGCGTTAGTAGTATGTATAGTTAAGTTTAAGGGACAAGGCTCAACGTATGATTCTCACTTTTCCAAACCCCAATAAGGGCACAATCCTAATTAACCAAGGTGACTGAGGGCTGACTGAACTCATACTCTGTCAGCTGAAGCTATGCAGAATCCAAACAACTCCCAGCCTCAGGATGCTGGAAATTAACTTTTGTAATACTGTCAACTACTTTGGGTCCTCTTGGACATAAAAACAGGATATAAATATACAATGAAATGAAAATGAAATGACTTAAAAACTATCCTGAGCCTGATCTAACTTTGTGTTGGCATAGTAGCTGTAAATTTGGCCTAAGAAGGGTCTGGCTCACTTCTTTTTGGGCGCTTTTCTCCTGGCTGATCTCAGCCAGCATAGCAATTGGGCTAGCAGTTCTGAAATCGGACTGCATAAGGGGAGATAACTGAGTTGTAGAGGCTTTTGTCCATTCCAGATTCATTACAGCCCACGTATCTTTGAGAATGGAGTCCACTGGCTGAATCTGAAAAGGGGCCAAACTACTGTCAACCAGAGCTCATCACTTTTGCTTCTCCATGTTATGATTCATGAATACTGGGATGGACAGCTCAAGGGCAAGAATCTACCATTTGGTAGATTTTTGTGTATGAAGAAAGAACAATGTACGTGGCAATGACTGAATCTTGATGCTGCTGCTGATAACTGTTCAAGTGACCATGTTGCATAATGTCTACAATGCACACCCATTTCTGTGCGGTTCTGGCAAGATCCAAAATGTCCCACCATCAGGCATGATGATTAATATGTGTGTGTGATCATCCAACTCAGTGTGGAAGGGAGCCTATCTGGATTAAATACAGGCAATACAGATAGAAGGGGGGGGGAGGATTTATGAGAAGCAAGATTCAAGCATTTTCTTTCATCAGATAAAATTGTGAAAGTTGCTGTCTTTCCACACAGTTCACTTGCTTAGTCCTCATTTGATTCAATGGGATTTAAGCAGCCTATGTCAGATGTACAATTTGGAAATAAGCTCCATTAAGACAGCAAGCACAACCATAATAATACAATTGAATCCAAATGCAGAATAGTGTCAAACTAAGAAAAATGTTGCTTGAGAGGATCAGCTGTTCACTCTTTTCCTAATTTGGAAGTTCATTAGTAATCTTTCAGAGGGTTTAATTCCAACCCTCTTATTACCACTGGGATCTCTTTTAAAGATACTGTACCTTGGATTTCCATACGGATTAACAGAACAAGAGAACACGTTCTCTTTATTAATTTCATGTCTGCACCACTAGATGGCAACATCCTATAAATCTAGCATGACTGCTTTAGGTGACTAGAATCTAGCAAAGAAGCCACACAAGTTAAATAACGGATAGTTTATGCAGTGCTTACGTTCTGCATAGGTATCTCATGTATTTAAGAAAAGACTTAAAATGGAATGTGGTCAGAGATTTTAAAAAGGCTTTCAGGCAGAGGACTTAAATCCTAAGTGCATCCCAAACTAGAATAGAACCTCTTAAATCAGGGGAATTAAGACTGGAACCAACGAGTTCCGTACATTATAGTGATTCCACTCCAGTCAGATTAACAACTGGATTTAGCACCAGGAGCAATTATATACAGTGGTGCCTGGCATAACGGGCTGGGTAAGCGGCGCAAGGAGGCTACCGGCATCGGAGACAGGCTGGGGGGTGGACCGGGGAGCTTGAAGCCTCCCCGCGCTGCTTACCCAGGCCGTTCCCGGACTTCCAGAAGTCCGGGAACGGCCGGGGTAGACGGCGCAGAGAGGCTTCAAGCTCCCCGGTCCACCCCCCAGCCTGTCTCCGATGCCGGTAGCCTCCTTGCGCCGCTTACCCAGCCCGTTATGCCAGGCACCACTGTATATAATTGCTCCTGGTGCTAAATCCAGTTGTTAATCTGACTGGAGTGGAATCACTATAATGTACGGAACTCGTTGGTTCCAGTCTTAATTCCCCTGATTTAAGAGGTTCTATTCTAGTTTGGGATGCACTTAGGATTTAAGTCCTCTGCCTGAAAGCCTTTTTAAAATCTCTGACCACATTCCATTTTAAGTCTTTTCTTAAATACATGAGATACCTATGCAGAACGTAAGCACTGCATAAACTATCCGTTATTTAACTTGTGTGGCTTCTTTGCTAGATTCTAGTCACCTAAAGCAGTCATGCTAGATTTATAGGATGTTGCCATCTAGTGGTGCAGACATGAAATTAATAAAGAGAACGTGTTCTCTTGTTCTGTTAATCCGTATGGAAATCCAAGGTACAGTATCTTTAAAAGAGATCCCAGTGGTAATAAGTTGTGCGATCGCAAAAGCGATGGCAACAAAGCCATCGCTATGCGATTTTTTCGTTAAACGGGGCACTCGTTAAGCGAGGCACCACTGTACATCTAAGTACTAACTATGGAGCAGAAGCCTTATTTCAATGGAACTACAACTGACATGTATTAAGATCATCAGGGGAGGCTCTTCTCTCAGTATCACATCTTCATAGTTGCATTTCGTGTTGGACACAGGAGACGGCCTTCTCTGTTGCTACTCCCAGACTTTGGAACCCCTTCCCACAGGAGGCCAAGCTGGTCCCATTTTTGCTGTCCTGCAAACAAAGGCCTTTCTCTTCAGGCAAGCTTTCCCTGAGTGACTGGCTGCTTGAGTGGAGGTTTTAAATGGATTGTTGGGCCTTGTTGCTTTGTATGTGTTTTTGATGTTGGTTTTCTTTACCATTTTAGTGTAGTATTTGTTTGACTCTTTTATATTTGTATGCTTAGAGTTTGTAGCTTTTAAACATTGTCTTCAGCTGATGTCTGTATGTACCGTATTTTACCCGTGTATAAGACACCCCATGTATGCCCCCCCTTTTCTAAATCAAAATTTCTTTCTTTGCAAGAAAGTGGAGGGGGAAAAGCTCCTGCTTTCCCCCGACATTTTCGTTGCAAAAAGCAGCTTCCCCTCTCCAGGTTCTGCAAAGGAAATGCAGGGAGGAAGTGATTTCTGCTTTCCCCCTACATTCGTTGCAAAATGCAGCTTCCTGCCTCCTGGTTTTGCAAAGAAAATGCAGGGGGGAAATAGGAATTGCTTTCCCTCTGTATTTTCTTTGCAAAACCTGGAGGGGGGAAGCTGCTTTTTGCAACGAAAATGTAGGTAGAAAGCAGAAATCTCTTTCCCCCTCCATTTTCTTTGCAAAACGTGGAGGGGGAAACAGGGATCAAAGCACTTTGATCCCTCCCCCCTCCTCACTTCCAATTATAAACCGACCCTCAATTTTTTCTTCAATTATTTTAGGAAAAAGTGGCATTTTATACATGGAAAATACAGTATGTATGTATGTATGTATGTATGTATGTATGTATGTATGTATGTATGTATGTATGTATGTATGTAGGTAGGTAGGTAGGTAGGTAGGTAGGTAGGTAGGTATGTAGGTATGTATGTATGCATGCATGCATGTAGGTAGGTAGGTAGGTAGGTAGGTAGGTAGGTAGGTAGGTAGGTAGGTAGGTAGGTAGGTAGGTAGGTAGGTAGGTAGGTCCATTTTTATCCCACTCAATTAGTAGCAGAGCCAGTACTCTGGGTAGCTAACAAGATAACATAAAAATTAATAACAACAACAAATAAAATAAAAAGGAAAAGGAATACAGACAAAATTCCAAAAGGAATCATGATAAATATGATCTCTGAAAGTAAAGTAGCATTAATGACAGAAGTATATACAAAAAAGGAAACAGATGGTCAGCAGAGAGAGGTAATTAATTTTACTTAATTTGGGGGAAGGTGTAAATCAAACTCCTGTCGTCTGCCCACAGGGCTACCCAGCAACTCATCTAGAGGTATATTTTTACACCTCAGCCTATAAAACAGGAATACTGCTGTTTTATAGCAGAACCTTGATGTAAAGATAGACAAATCAGTTTTAGAGCACACTGCACCCAGAACGGGCTCATGGTTCTAGATATCAATAACAATGAGTCATGCACACTACCCTTCCCTGCGTGAAGAAGATATGTGTACCATTAGTCAGGATGGTAAAGCAATTACATCATCTTTCTCAAGCAGAATGTCTGTTTAGACCTCTGTTCTGGCTAACACTTGCATAAACATTACAACACAGATAGAGATATGATGCTTCAGTTTACTGAACAAATAAAAAAAATACTGTGTGCTCCTTAAATGTTTGCTGTAGTCAGTGTTAATTATTATATCACTGTTAAATCCAACACTAACCCAAATCTGTGACAGGGGCGGCATAGATTTAACTCCTCACCCCACCCCTACCAGCTAATGAGGGAATGGGCATTAACAAACCCACTGCCCACCTGCTAGAAGGCCAGACACAACTAGCTTACTGCTGTGCAAATCTATTTGGGTCAGAGTCCAAGATGTTTAGTTCCAAAATTACATTGCAGTTGACTGGCATAACATTCAATACATTTATAGGTGGCAGAAGACTTAGTTACTGAACTATTTTTATTTAAAGCATGCGTGAAACGCTTATTTTCCAGTAATAGTAGATGTATAAATCAGTAAGGTGTTTTAAGTGA